AATGCCACAGTTATATCTTTTATAGATATAACTGTGATTAAGCTTAAAAATTGAATTTATCCTTTTTATTAACCTATAACACTATTTTCAATTATTATCTTACTGCATTTTATAATATAATGATGATCACAGTCTGAGTAAATAAGTATAGCTAAATGGATAGTTACATAACCCCAGTCTCCTGAAGGTCAGTGTTTTGGGTGAGCTTGACTTAGTGAAGTACAGTGATTTATCTTTTGGCAAAGGAATCCAATATAAAGTAGGAAAAATATTTGGAAATTGTTGCCTTATGTTATAAAGATGGAAAATAGTTGTATGCTTTCTTACTATACTACATGATATAAGAAAGAAGGAACTTCCTTATGTAATTTTTCCTTGTTTGGACCATTCCATTTAAAGCGTATTTTTTCTAGGTAAAATGTGGTGAAATCTTTAATACATGCTTTTTTGTGTGTATGTTTGGGGGTGTCTCCTTATGTTTCCCCTTTCACCGGATTTACTTGTGCCTTTTAAGCACTATATCTCACTAAAATAAGATTAGGTCTGTGTAATTCTAATAGTAACACGTGTAGCTGCAACCTGCCCTGTGAAACTTTTCAGTTTGAATTGGTTTACTGTAGGATCTGAAGTCTCTTGTCCAGGGTCCCTCATACCAGATCCTTTCTTCCTGAGCTTAGGTTATAGTGTTCTAACTATAACTTAACCTTCTTTTTTCCTGTAATCATTTTTTCTCTCAAATATCCTATTTTTACTTTTAGTGGAAAGACAGTCATTCTGTTTCACTTAGCATATAATAATGAATCTCTATAAAAATCGAAATGATAAAACAAATGAAGTATTTTGAAATTAGAAACAAGTTTACTCATATCTTAAGATTCCCATCACAATCCTGTTAATATATTTTGTGTATTTTCTTCTATACATGTGTCTAACTCAGAGAAAGTCTTTGTGAATATAGCATTCGTTCCCTGTTACACACTTACACCTTTTACGAAATTTTTATAAATAGCCATATAAAATATTTTCATACACATTATATTCATGTCTTGAAATTATACTCTATAAATGATATGAAAACAACACGGTACTTAATAAATACTATTTCCATCATATTTCCTTTGGCTCTCTGTGAAGTAGTGGAATCAGTAATTTTCTTGAATCATATTGCTAAATTGTTCTACAAAAGAATTCGATTATGGTGCCATCAACAGTATGTGAAAGTAAATGTCCACTGCACTCTGAACAGTAGGGATTATCTTTTCAGGAAAACTTTTATAACTCAATGGGCAAAAATGCTTTTGTCTTTTTCAGCTTGGCAATGCGAGCCACTGACTTTGGACCCAGGGTGTTGCCTCCCCAGTGACGGTGGATCTCATCATATCTGTCATTTGTACTTGGTCCAGAAAGCTTTCACCAGCTTAGCCTGAGCTCCTTTGTCTTCTGAGTTAACCTGTGTGAAGGCAGCAGTGGTGTAGGTCTTCCTGTGGACTACACGCTCCAGCCTGGCCTTCCCCTTAATAATGCAATAGGGAACCCCCCATCTTACGGCACAATGCAGGCAGGAAGATGACCAGCTTGATAGGATTCCCCATATCATGTGCAGTCACTACCAGCTGGGCCTTCTTGTTCTCCACCAGAGTGGTGACAGTGTTAATTCTGCTCGAAGGACAGGTGGCTTCTTGGTGGGGACATTCCCTTTGCTGGCAGCTTTTTTCTCAGCCCAGGCCAATATTTCTACTTCTCTTCCTTTGTCTCTGGTCTGTACTTGTGTGCCAGCTTAAGTAGTTGAGTAGTGTTTGACAGTCTAAGACCTGAGTAAACTGGTTAATGGTAGGAGACACTTTCAGACATTTACAGAGAATAGCCCTTTGCTGCAGCAGCCAAATGTAGTGGGGCTGTTTGACAAAGTGGGTGAGGTTCCTTTTGGGCTGGATGTCCTGTCCAATGCCAGAATTCTTGGGCATTTTCTCAAATAGGATTTACCACTTTGGCCTCCTGCTTCTTCACAATAGCAGGATCCGACACCACTTTCTTCCCCTTAGCCTCTTTTTCTTTTGGCATCTTGGGTGATGGGAGGCGAGAGAAATAAAGAAAAACTTTGAATTGTCTATTCTATTGTTTTTATTTAATAGAAGTTTTTTTTAAGGTTTGACTAATTATATTTTGTTTTATATCTTGTATTGAAATTGTATTTGTGATCAGTAAGTTTTAAGGGTCTGATTTGAATTTTTTCTTCCCCAATTGCTAAACAATTGTTCTTACACCTAATCATCCCAAAGAGTAATCTGTCACTGGCTGTAGACTTTATATTAGACTTAGTTATACTTCTACAAGCAACCTTTTCTTTCTCACAAGGTCAGTCATACAACTAATAGTGAAGGAGGTGTAACTTAGAATCAAATTATTGCCTGCCTTTAGCTAGTGTGCTTGCGTTTTTGCTCCTTTCATTAATCCAACTGTGATAGATGCTAGGGCTACAGCCATGAAATGGAGCTTATAATCTAGCAGAGGAGATAAACATAATTACATAAATAATTAATTTTGATTTCAATATATGACAAGAAGGAAAGTATATAGATAATTCATAATATGGCACTTAACATAATGTAGGGATTCAGGGAAACCTTTACTGATCAAGTCACTTTAAGTAGGACCTGAGGGATGAATAAGAAGTTATCCAATTGTGAAAGAGGTTTGGGGTGAAGGAGCAGTATTTCAGGTAGAGTAAAAACACATTTAAAGGCTTTGAGGCAGGAATGAGCTATTTACTAACCTGGAAGAAGAAAAATCAGTATTGTCCAGACAGTGAGATGTTGAAAAGGGAGACGGTTGTAGAGGTACGTAAGGGGTAGATCATGTAGGGAAACCATTGAAAGGATATAAGTGGGGAAGTGATGTATTTGGACTTGCATTTTTGAAGTTCGTTATATAGATTGGTGGGGGTCAGGTAAGAGTGAGTATTGGGAGACTGTTTAGTAGACCACTGAAGTGGTCCTGATGAAAGTTGATGGTGGCTTGCAGTTGGCTACTACTAGTGTAAATGGAGAAAGATAGTCAAATCTTACCAGTATTTAGGAGGAAGAATGGCCAAAATGAGGTGATTGATTAACTATGAGGTTAGCCCTGGCTGGTGTGGCTCAGTTGGTTGAGTGTTGTCCCATGCACTAAAAGGTCTCCTGTTCGATTCCTGGTCAGGGCACATGCCTAGGTTTTGGGCTTCGATCCCCAGGAGGGGTTGTTCAGGAGGCAGCCAGTCAATGTTTCTCTCTCTCCTTCTCCTTTCCTCTCTTTCTAAAATTAATAAAAATGTATTTAAAAAAAATTAGGTTAGGAATTAGAGTAAAGCTGTCAAAAGATGACAGGTATGGGCAACATGTGGTTAAGAATATTATTGCAAAGATAAGGAAAACTGCAAGAAGAGTAAGTGTTGTAAATTTGGGACAGAATTTAAAGTGCTTATATATCATACAAAGTTGTACATATATATCCAAGGACATATCTAAATAGGTAAAATTTGTGAGTCACTGGCATATCCTACGAATTTAATTGGTGATAGATGTATGGAAAATGAATGAGATTGCCTAGTGTTTAACATAAAGTGAGAAGGCACCTTAAAGTCAAAGTGCTCAGGAACTCCTACATTTAAAGATTGGATAAGGTCATCAGAAAGGTGCTGCCAGAGTTGTAAGAGGAAAATCAGGAGAGTGAAATACTGGATGACAAGAAGTAATAGCATCTCATGGCTTATGTTTTGTATACTTATTCACTATTTTGTCTGAATTTCCTGTTCTTATTTTTCGTTGTAATTTATTTATATAGTATATGCTGCAAAAGCTCTTTGGAGAGCTAGATAGGATACACAAATAATAAATACTCAAATGTGACCTCCAGGAACATATTATTCATAGTAAGACAATGCCATTAACTTACTCTGTTTAGTCCTGGCCACTGTGGCTCAGTTAGTTGGTCAACGTCTTGTGCACTGAAAGGTTGCCAGTTCAATTTCCCAGTCAGGGCACATGCCTGGGTTTTGGGCTCAGCCCCCATTAGGGGGCCTGCTGATGGATGTTTTTGCTCTTATATAGTTTCTTTCCTACCTTCCTCTCTGTCTCTGAAAATTGATTTTAAAATCTTTTAAAAAACTTATTCTGTTTATTTTTATATCTGTCCTCTTCTCAATAGTGAAAAGAAATGTTAATACTGGCTGTATGATTATTTCTGGTTTTGAATTGGTGAGTGGTAGGGAGTGGGATCCAAAATAACTTCTTTTTAAAAAAAAATGTTGTTATTTTATTTTATTTTTTAGAGAGAGAAAGAGAAACATCTATGTGAGAGAGAAACAGGTCAGCTGCCTCCTGCATGCCCCCTGTTGGGGATCGAGCCCACAACCCAGGCATGTGCCCTGATTGGGAATCGAACCGGGACCTCTCAGTCCATGGGATGATGCTCAATCCACAGAGCCACACCGGCTGGGCGATAACTTCTGAGTACCATTGCGTATGAATGATAAGAGTAACTAGAACAGTTAGAACACTTTCTTCCTTCCAGAAGGCAAGTCAGCACATGTGAGACCATGCCTTCTCATTTAAATCAAAATTCTAAATATTTGATTTGGCTCTTTATTTTAGGACAAACCACACCTAATTGATTAGAATAATCCTAGTTGATTTCTAGGTAGAAAGTAAAGAGATAGAAGCAAGTGTGAAAAACTGTCCCAGTCCTATGTTGAGAGAATCTTTTCATTTTTATCAATTTAACGCTAAAAAATTCTTGGCAGGAATTTAAAAGTTAAGCAGTATTTATTTTTTAAAAGTTATCTGGTGCTCTGAGGAAGATCTCATGTCAAGGAGAATTACTTTGTGAGGAATGTTCTGAAATGTTAGTCTGGTGGCAACTAGTACAAATGCTGCTCCCATCTTTTTAATAGTTTTGAAGTTACAGGAAGATGTTATACTTTTGTAATCTGAAAAATCTCTTTGTTTTCTTTTTTTTTTAAATAGAGATGTGAACTGTGTCCTCATAAGGATGGAGCTTTAAAAAGAACAGATAATGGGGGTAAGTGCAGAGATTTTTGAAAAAAATTTTATTGAAAACTGGAGTGGGAAAGTATTTTAAGATATTTCGTAGTTCATTTTATTATATAAAATTAAATAGTGTTTACCACTCAAATATTTTTTAATAGCAATGGACATAATTTATGAATTCTTTTTTTCTTGAAACTGTTTTTCTACTTTGTGGACAGAATTAAGCATTGTTTTTTCTTAATGCAGAATAATCCACCTACTTCTAATTGAGATATTGATTTTTTTTTATGGATACAGTTCCTTATAGAAATGATTTTTGAAAAATAAGCCACTTTCTCTCTTTTTTTAATGCTAGATTTAAAATTGTTATTTTAGTTTTTTTTTACCGCTCTCTTTCGTATATTGCAGGATAGATGATGTTCCTATTGAATGTTAATTTTAACACCCTTGAAGGTCTTTCTGCTTGATAAAAAGAAATGCTGATTTCTGGTTCTGAATTTTATTATGTTTTCCTGAGGACCCTTTTATTTTTCATTTTCATTTCTGTTTTTTGTTATCTGTCTTAGAGAAATCTATATTTCTTTATAGCTTAGTACTATGACTTTATTAAACTGTGGCATACTGTGAAAATTAAGTGATGAATAAATTTTAAAAAGTAGAGTTTTAACTACTATTAATAAACACTTCCATTTTGGGCAGCCAACTCTAAAGCATTCCCCCCCCCCCCCTTTTTATTGAATTTATTAGAGTGACACTGGTTAATAAAACAGGTTTCAGGTGCACAATTCTACAATCTATTATCTATGCACTGTATTGTGTGTTCTCTATCACTATTTATCTCCCCTATATATTCCTCCTCAACTTCCCTTGCCCTGGCAGTCACCACACTATTGTCCCTATCCATGAGTTTTTTCCCCTTTTTTCTGCAGTTCCCCCACCAAGTGCCCCCACCCCACCCGCCCAGCTCTGTCTGTGAGTCTATCTCTGTTTTGCTTGTTAGTCATTTTGTTCATTAGATTCCATATATGAGTGAAATCATATGGTACTTGTCTTTCTCAAATGGCCTATTTCACTTAGCATAATCATCTCCAGATCCATCCATGCTGTCGAAAAGGGTAACATTTATTTTTTCATGGCCCAGTAGTATTTCATTTTGTAAATGTACCACAGCTTTAAAAAAAATTTTTTTTTTTATTGATTTTAGAGAGAGAGGAAAGGAGAAGGAGAGAGAGAGAGAAACATTGATGAGATAGAACATCGATTAGCCGCCTCTTGCACGCGCCCCCAGTGGGGATTTGGCCTACAATCTGGGCATGTGCCCTGACTGGGAATTGAACCAGTGTTTTGGGATGTGTGTGTGTGTGTGTGTGTGTGTGTGTATATATATATATATATATATATATATACATACACACACAATTTAATGTTTAGACTATGTTAGTCACATTGTCCAAAATTTAAAATATTAACCTTTCCTCCTACTCCTGTTCACCATCTTGCCTAGTTCCTTAGCAACTTTCCAGCCACCATTATAATTGCTGTTACTGCTTTTTTCATATATCCTTCTAGGTCTTTTGGCATATGCAAATACATATGAATAGACAAGTATTTTCTCCAATTAAAAAAGATTTTATTTTAGAGAGAGAAGAAAGGAGAGAGAAACATCACGTCCCATATGCACCCAGAATAGGATCAAACCAGAACCTGAGTATGTGTCCTGACTGTGAATCGAACTGGTGACTTTTCAGTGCAAGTGACGATGTTCAACCAGCTGAGCCACACTGGCCAGGGCTCCAATATTTATACTGGGTGAATATTATACATACTCTGCATCCCAATTTTTTTTTTTCATTCTCACCTGAGGACACTTTGCATTCATCTTCAGATAGAGCAAGAGGGAGAGAGGGAGGGAGAGAGGGAGGAAGAGAGAGAGAGAGAAACATTGATGTGAAACAGACACATCGACTGGCTGCCACCCACAGGACCCCACCGGGGTGGGGACGGACTGCAATTAAGGTACATGCCCTTAGTGGGAACTGAACCTGGGTCTTTTTGGACTGCGGGCCGATGCTCTAACCGCTGAGCCAAACCAGTTAAGGCCCAATTTTTTTCACAGAATATTTTATCTCTATTATCAGTATAGAATTTACTTTCTTTTTCTATTTCTTTTTTTACCACATGTTGTATAATCAGTTACCTGTTCATGGAGTTTCTAATCTTCTGCTTTTATGACTACAGTAATGCTTTTATATATGCTATTTTGCTTGTATGCAAATATATCTGTAGTATGGATTATTAATTCCCAGAAGTGGAACTGTATGGTCAATGGGATTTTACAGTTAATTTTGGTAGATAATTCCAAATTATTCTCCCTAGTTGTTGTACCAAATTATGTTCCCCCAGCAACAGTGAACCTAAAAAGCTGTTTTCTACACCCTTGGTAATCCAATAAGTGGAAATTGGTATCTCTGAGCAGTTATTTTACATTTCTATTATTTATAAGTGAAACTGAGCATCTTTTCATATTTTATTTTATTTTTGTTTTTTTTAAACTTATCTTTATTGTTTAATGTATTACAGATGTCCCTCTTTCTTTCCCCCATGACCCTCTTCTCCCCAATCCTGCCCCCTTCTGCTTTCCCCACACTATTGTCTGTGTCTGTTGGTTATGCATATATGCATATATGTTCTTTTGTTTCTCTTTTCCTGCCCCACTTCTCTTTGAGGCTCATCAATCTAAGAACTAATCTGTACTTCCTAATCCGTTCATCTTTTTCACCCAACCCCCCGCCCATCTGGCAACCAACAAAAAGTTCTCTGTATCTGTGAGTCTCTGTTCTGCTTGCTCATTTTGTTTGTAGATTTAATTGTTGATAGGTTTGTATTTATTGCCATTTTGTTCATATTTTTTTATCTTCTTTAAGAAGACCCGTCAGCATTTCACATAACACTGGTTTGGTGGTGATGAACTCCTTTAGATTTTTTTTTGTCTGGGAAACTCTTTATATGGCCATCAATTCGAAATGACAGCTTCGCAGGATAGAGTAATCATGGTTGTAGGTTGATGTTTTTCATCACTTTAAATATTTCTTGCCACTCCCTCCTGGCCTACAAAGTTTCTTTTGCAGCATTGGCTGATAGCCTTATGGGAGTTCCATTGTAGGTAACTAACTGCTTTTCTCTTGCTGCTTTTAAGATTCTCTCTTTGTCTTGAACCTTTTGCATTTTGATGATGATGTGTCTTGGTGTGTGTGGACCTCTTGGGATTCATCTTGTTTGGGACTCTCTATGCTACCTGGACTTGTATGTTTGTTTTCTTCACCAAATTAGGGAAGTTCTCTGTCATTATTTTTTTCAAATAGGTTTTCAATTTCTTGCCCTCTCTCTTTTCCTTCAGGCACTCCCATGATGGGGATGTTGGTATGTTTGAAGTTGTCCCACAAACTCCTTATATTATCCTTATGTTTTTGGATTCTTTTTTCTTTTTGCTGTTCTGATTGAATGTTTTTTGCTTCCTTATATTCCAAATCGATGGTTTGCTTCTTGGCTTCACCTACTCTACTATCTCTACTATTGATTCTCTGTATAAATTCTTCCTTTTTTTTTCTTTTAACTAAAAATTTTTTTTCTTTACTGATTTTAGAGAGGGAGAAAGGGAGGGGAGAGAGAGATAGAAACATCGATGAGAGAGAACATCGATTGGCCACCTCCTGTATGCCCCCCAACTGGGGATCGAGCCCAAAACCTGGGCATGTGCTCTGACCAGTAATTGAACTGGCGGTCTCTTGGAGCATGGGTCAACACTCAACCACTGAGCCATAGCTGTAAATTATTCTTTATTTTAGTTAGTGCATCCTTCATTTCTTACTGGTCCTTTGTTATGCTCTTGAGGCCCCCACAAAGTTCATTGAGCATCCTTATAAGTAGTGTTTTGAACTCTGCATCTGATAGATTGCTTATCTCCATTTCATTTAGTTCTTCTCCTGAAGTTTTGTTCTGTTCTTTTATTTGGGATATGTTTCTTCTTCTCATTTTAGCTAGCTCTCTGTGTTTGTTTCTATGTATTAGGTAGAGGTGCTATGTCTTCTAGGCTTCCTAGGGTGGCCTATTGTAGTAGGTGTCTTGTAGGGTCCAGTGGCACAGCCCCCTTGATCACCCAGCTGGGCCCTTGAGGTGCACCCCTTGTGTAGACTTTATACCCTCCTGTTGTAATTGAGTCTTGATTGCTGTTGGCACATCAATGGGTGGGCTTTACTCAGGCTGATCAGCTGCCAGGACTGGCTGTGCCCACTATCCACTGACCTCTGACCACCTTAGAGGATCAGCTGTGCAGAGTCCCACCACCCAGAGCAAGACTTACTTCAGCAGGGCTCTGGTATCCCGAGTCCATTTCTTGAGTGTGTCACTTGTGGAGGTAGTTGGGTGGCAGTGCTTTGATGTGGTCTGATGCTGCCCACTGGGTGTGCTGGCTCTGAGGCAAGGTCAGCCACTGCCTGTGTTCTACACAGAGCCACCAGGCATGAACTACAAAGTGAACTTCTTATGGCTGCTTCTTGTGCTGGGCTTGGATGTGTCCAGGTGAAGCTAACCTGTAAAGCAAGGCTGGCTGTCTGTATTGCCAGGCCTGTGGCCACTTAGCAAGAGGTATGGGGCTTGCTGAGACCCGATGCTGCTTGTTTGAGAGATTTTAGGAAATCTGAAGCAGGAGCCAAACAGTTTGGGTGGGCCAAAAAGTTGGATGTGGCAGGGCCTCAAGAAATCAACAGGGTGGGACAAACAGTGTGAGCCAGGTTTCTGGAGTCCCAGATATAGTGGCTGTCTGCCCTGTGGGAGAAAGGTTAAACAAAGGACCAATGGCCTCTGCCAGCATGTCTGTCCAGGAGAAAGCTGCTTCTTCAGTCCTTATCCGGATGCCAAACAACTTGAGTTCTTCCCCGTATGTCTCTGGTGCCTTTCAAGCTGCCTCCCCTCTGCGCTGGAGCTCAGAGGGAGCAGGTCCGAGTAAGTCAGTATAGAGGAGCTGCGTGTGGC